ATACCATATGTGTAAATGGAAGAAAGTTACATTACTACAATTTCTTTCTCAATTTCTCATTCTTTTGGGTTTTTTCGTTCAAATTATCATTTTTGAGATATAGAGGGATACAATTTTATTATTTCTTGTAAGTTGTTCTCATTTGAATATTAAAGGAATGTACTAGTTTAAAAATAATCCAGAGGGTGATTACCTTTTAAAATTTCGAATCAATTTTTCAACTGTTAAAAAACGTGCGAAAGCAAAGTTTTAAGTAATATAACAACGTATAACAATATGCGTAACTACATACGTACCACCCTCGATACCACCATTGCACTCAGTTTTCTAATCTATAACTTCAAAAGCAATAAAGATAATAGCATTTTTGACCATTTAACAATTTGAGAATGTTATAGATAAAATGATACAGTAAACTACTTTAAAATTCTAATAATAAAAAATAGCCAAGGATTAAAATATTTTGCATTACAGAATCGAGTGGTTTATTAATAACTCTTATTAAATATATTAATATCTTTGTTAAAAATAATTCTTAATAATAATAATTGTGAACATTCCATAGCAAGGTTAGTTATAATAATTAAATAATAATTTTATACTAATAAATTATTTATATATTTTTATTTATTTAAACCGAACAATTAAATAAAAAGCATCATGTAGTGCTACAAAGTAAAAAAATTTCTCAAATTTACTCAATTTTACTCAATAATCATTTCTGTCCACACCTGATTGAGTGAAATTTTCACTCTATAAGTTCGCATCTGTTTTAGAACAATATTTTAGGTCTCGATTAAAGGAATTGGTTAACGGATCGGACGAATAGATTGACATAACCTATATTATACGTTACGTCAGTAAATATAGGTAACAATTTAAATGTCCATTTAACTAAATATTACTCATAATCGAGGCTCAATATATTATTATTTTTAATTATTGTAATCAAACCGGTGCATTTAAACATAATTTTCACTAAAATAACCGAATTAACGGACACTTGTTCAGCACTACACGTCATACACTACGCCACGAGATGACCTAATGGGGATGATGAGAATAGACAAAGACAACGCACGACAACCATAGTATGGAGTGGGGTCCCTCAATAATGAGGACATTACTCCGATTTAGTTACAAGTATACCAAATACGAGTTTATCTGCACAATGTATTTAACGGGTACCCATATTTGAGTGAAAGTAGGTACCCAGTTTTAGTTGAAATATTATCACAAATGAGTAAAATCAAAATGCTCAATATTGAGTGAAGATGTACTCAATAATTTCACTCAAAGGATTCACTCTGTACCTTTCACTCACACCGATTTTTTTACAATGTACATAAATATACCTACACACAGAGTATTTCGAAAATTTTGGTAACATAACCTAATAACGTAATAGAACATTACAGAATAAAACGATTTCCTTATGGACCATGAGCTTATCGTCGTTTGCTTTTGAATGANATAAATTATTTATATATTTTTATTTATTTAAACCGAACAATTAAATAAAAAGCATCTAAATTTATGTAGTGCTACAAAGTAAAAAAAATTCTCAAATTTACTCAATTTTACTCAATAATAATTTCTGCCCCCACCTGATTGAGTGAAATTTTCACTCTATAAGTTCGCATCTGTTTTAGAGACAATATTTTAGGTCTCGATTAAAGGAATTGGTTAACGGATCGGACGAATAGATCGACATAACCTATATTATACGTTACGTAAGTAAATATAGGTAACAATTTAACTATCCATTTAACTAAATATTACTCGTAATCGAGGCTCAATATATTATTATTTTTAATTATGGTAATCAAACCGGTGCATTTAAACATAATTTTCACTAAAATAACCGAATTAACGGACACTTGTTCAGCACTACACGCTATACACTACGCCACGAGATGACCTACTGGGGACGATGAGAATAGACAAAGACAACGCACGACAACCATAGTATGGAGTGGGGTCCCTCAATAATGAGGACATTACTCCGATTTAGTTACAAGTATATCAAAGACGAGTTTATCTGCACAATGTATTTAACGGGTACCCATATTTGAGTGAAAGTAGGTACCCAGTTTTAGTTGAAATATTATCACAAATGAGTAAAATCAAAATGCTCAATATTGAGTGAAGATGTACTCAATAATTTCACTCAAAGGATTCACTCTGTACCTTTCACTCACACCGATTTTTTTACAATGTACATAAATATACCTACACACAGAGTATTTCGAAAATTTTGGTAACATAACCTAATAACGTAATAGAACATTACAGAATAAAACGATTTCCTTATGGACCATGAGCTTATCGTCGTTTGCTTTTGAATGAGAACGCTAATGAGAAAAGTCTTGTAATTTTCTCCGTTTACTAAACAAATTAAATGCAACGATATAGGTTTTTTTCATGGCTTGATCAAGCCATGAATAAAAACCCATATTGTTGCATTTAATTTTTTAGTCGGCGGAGACAATTACAAAACTTTTCTCATTAGCGTCGTCTACCGTTGTGCAGGAAAATAATATTTTTATTCCTATATCATAAATATAAATTTTATTAATAGCTCTTTAAAATCAGCCATCGTTTATTGAAATCGATTAAGGCATTTAGAAGTTATGACAATTTAAAAGTTTCAAGATAGCGTCCTTCATACTGACGTTGCTATGGTAATAACAAAAAAAGTTGTAACAAAATTTTTGAAGGGTTTAACAGTGTATCTAAAAAATGTATTTTCAACTTAGGTTATATAAGCGAAATTTCGAAAAACCGACAATTTTCTGTTATACTATAGTAGTTGCGCCTCTAGCGGTGAAGTTACAGACTTGAAAATATTTTAAATCAATTTCTTTTGGTCGTATTTGTTAATAGGTTTTTTACCCCAAAATCGTAGCACCTCTAGTTTTCTATATACAGCCGCTCAATACCGTTAATGGATCACTCTGTATATTTTAATGTTGCCGAATTCTCTTTATCACAATATAATTTACGAGAATTCTAAGGTTCTTAATTATGGTGTCTTACAGTGCCTTCCCCACTGATTCAAGTGGTGTATGCAAATTCAGTGAATTTTTACCTTTGCCAGCCCAAGTTTTGCCAAAATTTGGAGTAATGTATCTTTGGTCTAATAATCTAATTTTAATGTTTTTAATGTGTTAAAATATTGTCTGAATTTCTTCATTTATATGTGGCATAGTTTAGTTTTTACTTTGGGTATTTGGGAATTTTGACACATAAACTTAATGAAGAGAAAAAATGTATGTCCTGATTCATAATGTAACTCAGCTCTACAGTTTTGGAATACTGTGGTTGTTTATCTTGTTAAAAGCATTGCAACAGGTTTCCCTGTATCTGCCATGATGTCACAAACGCCTTTACCCAGTAATTCAGCCGATGACAGAAAATGCACAAAAAGTCGTTGTCCACCATCATCACTTTGAAGTTCCCTTGGTGGCAGATTGGTGAGATTTCTTCGATACGTTAAAGAAAATATAGTCCGACGGTGCTAGTATAGCAGAAAGATCAATCAAGAATAATTTTATATGATTTGAGGAGCAGGGAGAAAGATTTCACCAATATATTAAGGAAATGGAACGTCTGTACCAAGGTAGATGGGATATAAACATGTAAAGAAATCCACTTTTTCCGCGGATCTTTTGACAACGAATACATACTACAAAAGTGAATAGTAGTCTCGATAACATACCTAATAGTGAGATATAGTGATTTCATGTGATTTATCAAGGCACAAAAACTTCTCCCAAGAATCTCAATCGACATGGACTCACTGTGTATATTAATGTACACGAAGCATTAACTGACACATTAGTTTGAAGCTTACTTAATTTGGCTTATTGATACTAGAATTTTGTCATGTCAAATCAATTGACTCGTTAGTCGGGGGCTCAGAGTTAAAGCTTTCTTTCTTTAATCTTATCTGTTACTCAAATTCTATTTTATTTTTTTAGGTCCGGTCCCAAGATTCGGATTCAGCGACCTTAAAAACGTATAGACATGTAAGGTTTACTTTGTTGGCAGCCCCAGAAACATATAGATGTATTGGTTTATTTCGTTGGCAATTGATTCTCTATATTTGACCTTGAACTGATCAAACGGACTCCGGATTCGGATTCAGCGACCCCAAAAACGTATAGATATGTAGTTATATTTTGATTCTCTACATTCGACCTTGAACTGCGACCCCAGAAACATATGGATACTATGTTCTTGTATTTCGGACATCCCACTTTTTTTTGTGCGGCTGTGTTTTTATTAGTAAAGGGTAGTTTTTAATATTTAAAAAGTTAAATTGTAGGCAAATGGAGTATCCATCATAAGAGAATAGTGGTTGTTTTGAACTACTTTCCTTCACAATCATTTTTTTGTATATTCAAAATATGTATATCACATTCAAATGAAAAATGAACTCAACAGTATTTACATATCATATAATGTTCCATAAAAAAACTCAAATTTCGTTTATATTTCAAAAATGTGACATTGATTTGTTTTTATGTACTTCTTTGGTATGGCAAGAAAATTTAATAAAACTTTGGTCTTTACATTTTTTTTCCTAAATAGAAAGATAAATAAGAATAAAGATAAAGGGGAAAGAGGATCATGTGAATGACCTTGTGCACAAAAATTTAGCTTGGCCACATCATATGCAGGGTGGAATAGTCTTGTTCTCATTCTAGTCGTCTGTGATTAAGCGTACCTCGTTCCTTCCTATCCCGTATAAATTTACCTAAACGCATTTATTAAATAACATTTGGGAACCGCGGATAAAAAATAGCGGAATTAAAATTAGTTTTGTTCTCGTTCTAGTCGTCTGTGATTAAGCGTACCCCGTTCATTCCCATCACGAATAAATTTACCTTAGCGGATTTATTTAATATCATTTTGGGGACCGCTGATAAAAAATAGCGGAATTAAAAATAATCATCTGGTTAATCAAATTAACTACAAAATATATTTTGTTGCAGGTCAGATTTGGAAACGATGTTGATCTTAGTGGCGATCTCGGCAGAGAACAGTGTCATGAACCCGTCACTTATCTGGCACTGATAAATTCAAGTGCGGCACTCCAAACGACCAACTATTAAATAGGTAAAACAATACTCAACATTTCAAACATTGCAGCCAGTTGAGAGTGTGTTTTCACGATAAACACATTGTCGGCTTCAACAAAAAAGTCCCATCTAAAAAACCGACACACACACACACACACGTTCCTGGCCCGGATCCAAATTCCCGAGAAGAATCAAAACAGTAACGGATAAATCGTCGTGAGCCGCGTTGCTTAGGCCGATCGTATGCGCGTCTGCTTCGGTACTCTCTGCTTCTCGTCCCGGCTGAACGCTGTCGACGAGGAAGCCCCCCAGGTGCTGGGCACCGACAGATTCAGCGATACGGGCAACCACCACAACCACGTGTCGAAGATGGCCAATCTCGAGGACCTACAGGTAGGCAAAACTCTTTAATTGTAATAACAAATCACGTACGTAGTTTTTAAGATTAGTTTAGAAATAATTAATAGAATTCGATACACGAGGTACAACAGAATCGGACTTAATTCATTCCGTGAGTTTTCTTGTCGGTTGTTTGTTTGCTACAGGTGGCAGTCGGTGAATTTCATTCGTTTATTTTGTATATCTGCAAAGTACTGTTGTCACCAAGTTGTTTAAATCAATTATATAATAACAGATTCCACAAGTTAATAAAAATGGTCCGATAGTAACATTTGTTTTTGAGATATTGGATGTTCAAAATTAATGAAACTACGTGATTTATTTTGCAAAACATTTTTGTAAAGGCTATCATAATGATATGTAAAAAAACTATGTCAACTCACGTTTGTAAACTATCAAAGCCGTTTTTTAATAATAATAATTTTCTGTATTTAACAACTTGCATCTTGGAACTAAGCATTTCTAGACACATGTATATAAGAATTTTTTTTCTTGGTTTGTAAATAGAATTCTCTGTTAAAGTTTGCCAAGTAATTTAGTTACATCCTGTATATATTTATAAATACTTGCATAACATATATTAACAATTGGTTGAAGTAATAAGTGAAATAAAATGTCAAAAGGGAAAATACGAGTATATAAACGGAAATTATTGCAACATTTTGTCAGCGTAAACGTTGTTGCAGCAAAACGTAACGTAAAATAGTGTATCGGAGACTGTTCCCTGTATTCCGAATACTTTCCGCTCCCGCCACATCATATTTGACAAGCTGTTGTAATCCCAATCATAGCAGCACCATACACAAATTACATAAATATTGCACTGTACAGAGTTAGAAAAGAAATTGGAATCACATGGATATATCATTACAAATTTTACCGTTTACCACCAAATACATTAAATTTCCGCGCACAATTTACCGCTGAGTGATAGACTCCGAAATTTAACTGTAATGAAACCATATTTGACTGTAAACTTTATATTTTCTCTTTTACGTCTTTTTATTTTTTATATTCCTGTTTGGTTACGACCCGTGTGCCCTCTGTAATAATTAGTTAAGTACGTCATTTTATGCGATTATCTGGCTTATATGTATTTCATTTAAATAATTCTTCGTTGCTTTGTTTATTTGTCTATATTATTTAGACGTGGAAATGGGGAATTATAAATAAAGCTATTATTTTCGTGACTGACGCGCTGTTATCTACGTTTCTCATATCTTTATAATCTTAATTGCTTTTTACAGTTAAAATACAGATGTGTATACTAGAATCCCAAAATTGTAGGCGGTGACTCGTCCTGAACACGTTGATCTTTGCGACAGATAAGGCGTGGGGGATTGCGATTCCAATGGCGTATCATTTTAAATAAATTATTAATATAAGGGGTGTCACATAATAACTATTCCTAATTTTCAGAGATGATAGAGAGCACTTAAATAAATATTTTTTTATTAATAAACTAGTATCCGGAAATTCTTCAGTATCGAGATAAAATGAAATAAATCGGGAAAGTACAAGTCGAATTATAGCAACCTTTACAACTATATTCGTAGATTTCATTTTACTTGTCACAAATTAGTTTTTATTAGATAAATTAGTGTTTCATTGAAAATGCATCATTTTACAAACATTGAATTAGCAGACATGCATTTTGCCTACGGAGCAGGTTACGGTAATGCTAACGAAGCAAGGCGAATTTATGCGGAGCACCATCCTCAGCGTCACATCTCATGTCATACATCATTTTCAAGATTGGATCTGGGTTTTCGAGATACTGGTGAATTCCAAGTAAATAAAATAGATTCGGGAGCCAATCATACTGTTCGAAATGTTGACTTTAAGGACCAAGTTTTGCAACAATTTGCAAATAACCCAAAAACAAGCACTCGCGCCATTGCCCATGCGCCATACATCTGTATGGAAGGTACTAAAGGAATACCAGAAGCATCCATTTCACATTTAATAAGTGCAATCGTTAATTCCAGCTGAGTATCCCAACAGAGTTCAATTTGCCGAAAGACGAACCAAGATTTCCTAGGAGTGTATTATGGACAAACGAGGCATGTTTTGCAAGAGATGTCTATTTTAATACACGCAATACATTTGGAGCGAGCGAAGAAAATAAATTCTCACGCCGTTCAATGTAAGTTTTCTGTTAATATCTGGGTTGGAATTGGTGACAATTATGAAGTGGGACCATATTTACTGCCTGCACGATTAGAAGGTCAGTGTACAGGATTTTTCTGGAACGTACTCTACCAGAATTGCTTGAAAACGTCCCACTTAATATTCGAAGAAATATTGTTTTCCAGCATGATGGTGCACCAACACACTAAATTGCTGAAATTGTCTAAATTTCCAAGTGGATAGACCGGAAGGGGGGGGGGGGGTATTTCTCGGCCTGCACGTTCACCAGATATGACTGCAGTTGATTTTTGTATTTGGGGTTATATTAAATCACTGGTTTATGAGACACCTGTTAATACAGAAGAAGAGTTAGAGCTCGAATCATTCTAGCATTTGATGATATTTGTGAAAATACGCAGCTATTTCAAACAATTCGTCAGTCGATTACACATCGTTACAACTTGTGTATCGAAAATGGTGGTCGTAACCTCAAACAATTTTTATAAAGTTTGCTGCATTATTTCTTAATAAAATGTTCCTTAACTGCTTCAATTTAGTAAGTTACTACTCTTTCCTGTTGTAATTCAAATTGTTTTTAAAGATTTCCAGTTTATCTTGACACCGAGAAATTTCCGGACACTAGTTTATTAATAAAAAACGTTTATTAAAGTGCCCTCTGTCATTTCTGAAAATTAGGAATAGTTATTCTGTGACACCCTGTAGAACAACAAACAGATATGTCGATTTTGGAAATCTGTAGGTACTCACTTTGGTACACCCAACAGGTAGTTAGGTACGTTTTTATTTAAACTGAAGTCTGCATTCAGCAATTTTCTCTCGTGGCGAAGATGGCCCACTATCACCAGTGTATTATTTTTTTTTCTTATTTTTCTATTATGGGACATAGCCAGCGTTTTCGCTAAATGGACAAGTCAACCATGCGAAAAATTATTTACTTACAAGGAGAGGCCACACTCTGTGAGTCACCGATTTAATCGAGCCTCTGTGTACTTAAAGAGACTCAGTAGTGTAGTATATCCCCAAAGCACCCGCGAAAATAAGGGAGAAATTTGTCTAGAAAGTGTTAGTCTCACCATTTGTACAAGTTCCAAAAATTCGATCTTACAAAAGCTGTCGTGTATTTATTTTGTTCTTCTATCCTCCTTTCTTCGTAGAAAATATGAAAAGGTAAAGAAAATACTTGTTAAATAATATTTTCAAATTAATTTCCATTTTGTTCTAAACACAGTCTAATACGTCTCTTAAAGTTGTGGTTACTCGTACAAAAAATTCGGAATTGTTGCGGATTTCGTCAGCTGCCAGAAAATTTTTTTCTTATTGCTCTTCAACATTGTCAACTGAAGTAGCATAAACAGTGTTTTGAATATGTTCCGAAAGAAAAAAATCCATGGGGTAGCTGCTTCATTGCTGCGACCTATCCAACAATTGGGATATTTTAAATTAAGCCATTGCCTAACTGTTGTTGGGCTGTGAGCAGGTACACCATCATGTATGTACCACATGGCCTGGCGTACATATAATGGTGCAGCATGCACAATAATACTGGAAGGTGTTCGTTCAAAAAATGTAGATATTCAGCTGCACTAAGCCGGCGAGGTAAAATAAAAGGGCCAATAAGTGTACCTCCTAGAATTCCTACCCAAACGTTCAAACTAAAATTGTGCTGGAATTATATCTTACATATGTACAGCATGAGAATTTGCCTCAGCCCATGAATGAAGATTATGCAAATTTGTTAAACCGTGTCTTCATCAGTGAAAAGTAGTGTTGGTACGAAATTCAAATTGTGAAATATTCAAGAAAGATTAACAAATGGCTACTCGGTTATGCTTGTCATGTTCCAGTAAGGCTTGCACTGACTGGTGATGGAAAGGATATAAAAGATTGTCATGAGCAATATTCCAAACAAGGCTGTGAAAGACGTTTAACTGCATCGATAGTTTTCTTGTACTACTTTGGCAATTGTCTTCAAAATTTTTAAGTACTGTTTTTTTAAACTCAATAGTACGAACATAAGGTCTTCGGCTATTTCCCTCGCGATGAGGCTGCATTCTCTCAGTTTCTCGAAGTCTCTCTGTGAGGAACTAGGCGATTTGGATGCCTGTCGTGGTATATTCTTCTTGCTGTGGCACAGTTTTTCCGACAATAAAAAATTATACCATCAAAAATAAAATTATTGAGTAGCAAATCCGAGGAAGCAGGTACTCTCATAAATCACAAAATATCTAATGACAGAAGATAGCATGACAGTCGCCTACTTAAATATTTCATAGTTGCAATCCTGCGAATTGTAGTGCGAATGATAATAAATTTATTTTTTTTGTTAATAAAGGGTTAGTTTTAAAGCAAAAAAGTAAGAGAGGTAAAAGTTTTAAAATAAACCAGGCTACCTGATACGTATTTTTGAATATTCAATTTTTGTCAAACAAAAAAATTGTAGCAAAAAATAACTTAGGAGGGCAGAATTACAACCGCTATTCCATATTTTTATTCATTTTACTAAGGTCATTTTAATGCAAAATGAGTTCTTTTTAGCTGTGGACTCACGGATATCATTTGTGCCGCTTCTTTTGAAAACACTCTGTATATTTAATAGCTGCATCAAAAAAATATTTCTATACCCATTTTTCCGAGCGCCAAGGTAGTGTAACTTTAACAACGATGTAACCACTGTATTCATACGAATAGTTTAAGAATTTGTGTGATTTTGTACCAACAGTTTTTCGTACGAATTCGCTACCGATCTAATATTTAGAAAAAAAATTTTTCCAGGTTTTTTTCAGTGTCTGGAATAGTATTTTTTATCATTTCTTTAGGGAAATTTAATAAATAGATACCTATTTTAAAGAATACCGAAATCAGTAATGTGCACTTTTTTATTAAGAAAAGAAACTATAAATCTTGTTTTAACTTTCTTCTTATTAGGCCTTGCACTAAAAAACACTCCTTTTTATTAATAGAAATGTTATCAGTGTTCTGGTTCTTAGTAAACCCACTGTAAAGTAGAGTTAAAATATTTATTTCCAAACCGTGTTAGTAATTCGAAGCCTTGAAAATTTTTTTATAGCATCACATCGAAGTCGTTGTATATACTCATACCTAACTGTTTTTTTATCAGATTTGTGGAATTATAAAAAAATGTTTATCATTTACCGTAATTTATAGAAATATATATCTACCGCGATTTAAAATAAGTACGAAGAATTTTAGGTTTGTAAATAATTGACCCATTTTCCGATGATTCAGAGTCGCTAAGAGAGAACATTTATAGAATTTCAAAATTAGGTGTAGAATAACATTTAACAGTAAATACCAAATTGATGGCTACATTAATTTTTATGTGTAAAGTTCAATACATTACTGAAATACTAAAAATTACGTGTTCCTTTGTTATCTAGAAGTATTCCTAAACATTTTTTTTTAGTTTGGAAGTAGCTAGCACTTAAAAGCAATATATGATCAATATCAATAATCAAGTTCCTCAACTGTAGAAGTTGTCAATCGAATCGATAAGTAGTTATTTGCATGTTTGTACCTGATCACATAAAAATTAAAGCATTTATTATTTATGAGATTTTCACATTAAGGGAGCGTTTTCATGCGCAATCCAGCAAGTTAGAAACAATATCTCTTCACTGTACCAGTTATATTTAAGTTTTCTTGATGGTATAAAACAATCAAAATAAGGAAAAATTCATATTTTTACTTCGTACGTTTATCTTACGTTTCCTGAATTTTGCACCTGTTGAACGTACAGAAAATCGCGTACGGAGTTATAAACATAATCACACCCAGCAGAAAGCTTTTATGAAGCACATGCACTAAACACAATTATTAAGTATCTTCACTTTGCTGGACAAAACAGGAAAGGTGCAGGGTGATTCACTATATTTTGACCCCCCCTTTAACTTTTTTGTTTTAAGAGTTATAAAAAAATGTGATATATAAAAGTTGCACGATTTTTTATGAATTTTTCGAAAATGATAGTAGAAGAACAAATGAAGTCCAAACAAAATGGCCGCGTATGTTAACTTTGTTAAGTTAAATGGAACACCCCGTATATTTTTACATATTTGGATAGAATGTTCCCTGTCGAGCATAGTCATGTAGGGTTTGTTGGGTCCATCTCTAATAATAAGCGAGATACTATTAAAAAATTAAGAGAAGGTTTTTTATTAAGAAAATAATACATCTTGTAATAGCTAGCCCTCTTTCAGGCATTTCTGCCTTTTTTCCAATTACGTAAGGATTTACAGATTTATTTAGAATATATTTTGATATATCGGACATTGATACGATCCAAAATGTCTATAGGTAATTTAACATCTTACTAATTAGGCCGTGAGAGGCCTAATTACTCATGGATTACTCATTGGACGATTTGTCACAAACTAGATGATTTTTCTTTGCAAAATATATTTGTAAAAGTAATTTATAGGAATTAGAATACCAATTAAAATTTTATTTGAAAATTTTGGTAACTAGAATTTTAATTAAAATTTTATTAGTCTGACATTTGACTGTTTTAATTGATAAACGACTATTTACTAATATCTTACAACTAAATATTATTTTAACAGATAGTGCTAATTTTAGTTTATTATCCTTGTTTATTTCTACCAGTTTAGTGAATGAAACGGGCAACAGTGAAGGAGTTGCTCATATAAGGGTGAAATTAGTAGCTAATGCTGTCGGGCGGTTGTAGCCACTACAAACTAAAATAATCTAAAAATTACCACATTTACATTGACGGATATGACATGACGTCACAACGCATATTTTAATATTTTTTTGGCCATAATGAAAAAAGACAAGATGTATCGCACATTTTAAACCTATTTTCATCCTGTGATGTTAAAAAGTTGTATGGGATAAACAAATCTGCACAGGGCGGTATGGAACCTCAGAAAACGTTGTGCACTCATTCTATATAAGGACGCTATGCCTCTGCAAAGTTTTGCTGACATTCCTTGCAGATTAACAACAGTTCATTACCGTCATATACAGGGTGACTCACAACTTATCCAAAAAAATTTGGGAATAGATGCGGCATGAAAAATGGAGTCAATATCGTAAAAACAATTTTGTAAAATCCTTATAGTTTTCGAGAAAAAAATTATTGAAGTTATAGTACATTCAACCACTACATAGCTGGACAACTATAGTCTCTAGCGTCATTCGCAATACGCGTGGAAAGTCACGTGGCCTCAGCGACTCCGAATACTGAAATCCGATTTTGCAATTGTCGTCGTGTTTACCTGTTATCTGTGGTGTTTACAATAGTTTTTTAGTAGTTGGTGTCAAAAATGGTTTGCATAAATAGCAACTCGGAGTTGATGGATATCGTTTTAATTTATGGTGAAGCAAGACAACATTTGTATTATGGTGAAGCATTTGTGTTATAGTGAAACAAGACAGCATTTGTGTTAGTTCGTGGAAACTGAGTAAGACGGACCCAAATGTGTTTACACGTTGGTGGATAATATTTTGAATAATTGTTGTTGTAACATCGGGTATGTCAAATGATTTTATTATTTAAAAACACAAATTAATTTTATTAATTATTAATAACAATAAAGGCAAAAGCAGTTGAATTTGCCGATATAAAATAGGTGCTATAAAATTCTATTTATTTCTTTCTTTGCAAAAGTTTTTTGTCCGTTTTTATCACACCGCCATGCTAGTCGAATTGTGCGAGTTCAGGTTTTACAGTGAACCAGTTTCCAGTGCCGTGCAGAAGTGTATTTTTAAATCATTTTCGAACTGCCCTTTTTGATTTTTTTCTTTACAAAATTGTGTTTGTAAGGGTCCCCTATACATCCAGATTTTTTTTTTTAATAAGTTCTGAATCACCCTGTATATGTACCATATTGTAATACCAATCACAAACTTAACCCATTAGATACGTTCTAATGCAGTTTTGTCTCATTTCTAATACCAGATTTAACTTAGTTTTCACACTGTAAGACCGATGTGAATAACATGTTGTAGACTGTGCCCTTAAAAGATGAAACTGTTTCAAATGTAAACACTTATCTCTTGATTGTGGGTGAGACATAACCTATAAACTGTGTTACATCTTAACTGGACGGGGTTTTAGTCCGTACAATAATAATTTGTTATATCTAATATCATTATGTAAATATCTTAATTAAAAAAGTTTTATCAAAATCTTTTTTTCAATAAATATGTTTATACTCACAAAACAATCTTGCGAAGAAATACGAGTACCTATAAAAGGAATTCCTTTGTTCTTGACCTATGATGATTTCTTTAGGTTTAATTATTTATCTTAAAATATATATCCATAGTTTGGCGATACGAAACAGTTCACTAAAGATGACTTATTTTCCAGACCCAGCTGGCGCTCAAGGACGAGAAAATCGAGGAACTGACTAAAAAAATCGAGGAAATCGATCGGGAATTACTTCGCGAGGCGAGGATCCAGGAACTGCAAAGGTCCCTGCAACAGCGCGATATCGAAATTCAAAATTTGCGTTCTCAGTTGGATAAGTTTCAAAGTGTTTTAGTTGTGTGTAACCCCGCCAGCCCTAAAGGGTTGACCAATAATGTGGGGCTGCGGCCCAGAAAGCAACGCGCCGGTATTTCCGCGGAACCCCAAAGTGAGGCGTCTATCTTGGAATTAAGCCAGCAGACATTCCCCACTATCTACAAGAGCGAAAGGTAAGAATATTTTGCTGTAATTCTTATTATTCATATCTTTATGGCATGCGTTAGTATTTACGTGCGTTAAATTCGGAAATTTAAAGTTATGTCCTATTTCAAGCGCTGTCTGGAGCGTTAAGCTATATTGTCTATGCCTGATTTAAGGGGGACGCTAAAAAATTTCCGGATCCAAAGTTTAGATGCCCTGAATATATTTTGTTCCTTCCCAACAGATGACCAGATGTTAGAGCACATAGATGTTAATACCAAATTTGCCTACGTCATGTTTTTACCAATTTGTCTTAGTGAAGATATAGATAGCTTCTTAACTTGCATCCAAAGAGGTTGCATGGGACACATGCAATAAATACTGTATTTTATCTGCGTAAGGTTGTCTGTTTGTGCACGGTACACTTGACAAGCTCTGTGGGCATTTTCGTTTGCTCCGCCATAAATTATGAGCATATCATAATATTCGCGATTTCTAAACAAATGCGCCATTTTCAAAAGAAAAATTGGAAATACTGCTATTAAATGTATTCTCGAAAAACAGCACAGCAATCAATACGACAATGTATTACAAACTGACTTTCGAATACAATCCGACTTCATAAGAAACCTACAAACTCGTAAAAAATGTTACAGAATTTTTTGTAAGTATTCGCCGCGATAAAATACATGTATTTCAGCAGTTCCAAAACACATTTTTATTTAACTTTAGATCTTAAAGTTCCGATACAGTTAACTCAGTTTTTGCTCCTTTTTCACCCCTTTAAATTTTTGACATAAGTTTATTAACACCCTGTATGTGTCAAATATTTGCAGATTATTGGGGTAAATTCTGCGGATATTGCTCTGCTATGCACCAAGTACATGATGTGAAATATGAGCAAAAAAACAAAATATATCCAAACTTTGGCGAATATCTGACAAGTGAAGATATGCTTTCAAATGTATTAATATGAAGAAGCACCCACACGATACGGCATTTATTTAGGTTAGCCAAATATTTGGCAAGTAATAGCATCATCTGGAACCAACTTTACGTCAATGATCGCATACTAAATAATTGATATGCTTATAAATTGGATCTATAACTCCTTTGGTTCTTGTGAATTATGAACCTGTAAAGTCTATACCTAATTTAGTAATTTTGAGTATTAAAATTCAAGTTAGGAATAATCCAAAGCCTAGTGCAAAAATATTATTAATTTCCTTTTAATTTTCCATTTCAATTTTCCCATAAAATCGTCAATGTGTGTCAATATTGATTCTTGATGGTAGCTGCCGACTCAAATTCTATAGACAGCAAATATTTTTTTAACTTCCTTATGACATTGATTATTTATCTGGATCGTAAAGAGTTTCTGTAATATCTTCCAGACGCGTTTTATATGTTTGGATTCAGTTTAATTTATAATATAAATCTTTGAATATTTCAATTATTAAGTCACTGTTTTCGTTTAGCTGAACTTGTTTTTAACTCTCGAACTAAACTCATTCAGTACTTAATAGCAATAAATTAAGTATCTGCCTGACAGTTAACTTAATTTCACATTCAAACATTATGCCAATGGAAGTCTCATGCAGTCATTTCTTAGTGGTGAAACTTACTGTTTACTTAAATTAAAGAAAAGTGAAAAATTATGTGTGAAAATTTTCTTCATCTGTATTGTGAACCTAAAAAAAAATAAATGAATGTTGAAAATATTTTGTTAAAAAAGACTATATCTCATTTTTTTATTAATTCTAGCGTTGTATTGAATTTCAGTGAAATAAACAACAAATTAACTAATTTCATAATCATATCATTTTTCTGTCATTTCTACTTCTGTTCTATTTTAATTAAAATTCATTTTAATTGCGCTCAAAAATGTCGGAAAAATTCAGTTTTATGCAGGCGAACAATATACGACATTATACTGTGGATTAGCCCTTAGAGTTCGGAAATGCTAGGGCGGCTGCAATGTGGTACAGGGTTGGCTGTAGGTCGGGTTCTCTTTTATTTAATTTTATCCTGTGTCTATTTTTCTGCACTAAACGCTATACATGGAACCTACCATAAAATATATAAAATCTGTACAATATTTGTTGAGATAAAATTCCAAAAAACGAAAAAACCAATAAAGTTCTGTTATTGAAACTACTGTAACAATTTTCCGCGGCAGAGGCGTGCCTTGAAATTTTCCGCGTTATTTTCAGAATATTAAAATATAAACACGATACTCTTCGACTGGGAATTAAATTCTTTTCTTTTATTTTCCACCTCCACAGATTTATTTTAATACGAAATTACACAGGTGGATACACTTACGAAGAACCACACCTTCGTAATTGCAAAACACAATATGCACTGTAAGCTGCTACGGTGAACGCCACGTCGCCATTACCTTTCTATCTCGAGTGTCGAACGCGGTTAATTCCAAGAAAGTAACGCAGGGGTCTTCTTGGAATTCGATCTCAACAAATATTGTACGGACTGTAGGTATAGTACCTACGTAATAATAAGTACAAGCAAAAGGTAACGAACTAATAATTTGTTACTCATAAGGAAAGCCATTGTAGAAAATAATTAGCTGTTGTTCGAAGTGTTTTTCAAAAACTAAAAGGACGGTTCAACATTTATCGAGGTCACATATCTAAAATAGTCGAAGTTTTTAATTGATGCTATTTTCACTAATAGTGGCAACATCAACTACTTCACATTTTAGTAATCCGCGTCATTGTACAATAACATGTACATGTTTGCCTTTGATCCGACGCTTCGCATCGATCAATTTATTCGATACGTATCTAGCGGCACCCTAAAGCCTGCCCTGTCGGCTTGTCGTGCTAGTGAACAATCCAGGTTTTTTACCGAAGGACATTCAATTGGCCGTGCATTTCATCCTTGTTTGTGTGTATGTTAGTGAATGACGCATTGCTTAGTCGAGTGTATGACACGTGTTTTTGTGTCGGTCATTAGCATTCTGAATTGTGAGCATAGAGCGGCACACGACTTGAAGACAGATTTAGCCTATCTCTGCTACTAAAACTCATATTGCCGCTTACTAGCTTTATATAGATTAAGTAGTACTGTTTATTTATTTGATTGTCGCCACAAAGTTTCCGATAATAATTATTTATTGCTAGATCTTTACTGGTTATTGGGGTATAATTCAATGCTACTAAAGGAATGTATGTTTTTTAAAAACAAATTTAACTAACGCACAGAAACTAAAATCTGAATTTAAACCAAAAAAAGAAAAATATATAGTATATTCCTTTAAATTTCAATTAAGCAAGCGGATAGTACCATTTTAAGAATCATTTCAGTAAAAGTGGAAAATAAACGCAAGTACAATTTATTAATTCTAAAAAGAATATAGTGTAGGGTGTAATTTTCGATTAACTTTGTATGTTTCACAATATACGACTTCTTATTACTATTTATTATCTTTCTTTTTTGAGAATTATTTTTTGTTCATTATCGTATTGCAAAGTATATTTGCGATTCAGAGGTTTCGGTCACTTAATTTAGTTAAAGTGAACTACTTTACAATTTGTTTGACAACTTGCCAAGTAATTAATTTTGCACCGTTTAATTTTCTGTCTACCAGAACGTTATACTTTAGCTCTTGGAGATGGAAATAACTGCTAAATTAGTGCCAAAGCTCTATTTAGAAGATACTAAAAGTCCAAGAATTGTGTATGCCATGAAATATACCTTTTCTCGATGCTAAAACAAATGCATTTGTATACTTTAGTATTATTACTAAAATGATCAGGAAAATAATGTATCTACAACTCAAAGGAATATGTACTAAAAAATTAGATGATAATAATCATGCATTATATATATTTTTTCTCGAATATTTAAAAAAAAAGACATAAATTTAATCCATAGTTTCATAATTTTGACACAACAACCAATATCACTAATTGATTCTTCGCAGAAAATTTTGGAGTAGGGTATAGTTGAACAATTTGCGGGCTGGTTGTCATGTTATCGTTTTAGATTATTTGATGTTTGGATAAATTGGTCTCTTCAGAAGATTCTCTGAAAACAACGGCAGAGGTGGCCGAAAATGGAAAATTAATATCGTCCCATAACATGATAAAAATAAAGATTTTTCTGATTTACTTGATTTTATCGGTTTTTCCCTTTAATATCTAGTTTAAAAGCCTGATATCGATCAAATTTTCGGCAGATTTTGCAAGTTTTAAAAAAAATCTTGCCATAGTTTTGGTATCTATCATAATCATACAGATTTGTAGTCAAGAAAACAATATTTAACATTAAATAATTAAAATTAAATATTAAATAATTTTGGTTGGCAACTGTAATTGATCAACTTATGTATTTATAATGTTATATTTTAAGCCTTTAATTTATCTAGTCTCCACCTTTAAAAAGTTATATTTAGAAATTTGACCGTGAATAATTCCTATACGTTTTAAATATGTGCAATGAAATAGTCAATTTCGACAAACATAATATAAACATTTAAAAAAATTCTCGGGAGCTATTAAAATATTTATATTTCTTTTTATAATATTAGGATATACAGTAAATAGAAAAACGCATCCATTACATAAGCTATGCCTTTGATCTATATTTATATACAGTAAAATTCATATTGACCATATTTACGATATTAAGCATTTCGTAGTAGCTTTTTTGAAATGTTTGAATAATATGCAATATCCATGTGTAGGTACCTATATGTAATAATGTTTATTGCTAGTTTAAAAAAAAATTTGGTACCTGTAAAGGGGATAGGTAACACTAAATTATGGTATACCAACAAATTAAAACATTTAATACTAGGTGTTTTATTTTTGCTGTTACATTTTGATAACTTCAAACAGTTATAATTTTGTTAACATAAATGTAACGTCTTGTATTTTTTTACGCTGTCGTATGCGGATTGAAATTTCCTTTCAAGCCATATAAACATTTTTAGAGTTGCCGTTACTACTTTTAGAGATATTTGCAATTTTCTATTTTTTGCACAGTTTTTCTCGTATCAGACCTA